CGGGGGGGGGGGGGGGGGAAGTTGGAAAAACGGGGGGGGGGGGGGCAAAAGTATAGGCGTTAATGCACTTTGAATGCTCCAGAGATACAGATATCATCCCTGTCTTTTCTTTGGGATTGAGGAATTTTGTTCTATGTATAAAGAGCCACCAGGAGGGGGGACGTCTCGGGTACAACCCGGCGGAAAAAGGCCGATCCGCAAAGCAGCGCCAACTCCGCGCGGGTTTCCGCTTCCCCGCCGTCGCAAGGGGCAGCACCGGCCTTCGGCGGGGCCTGCCAGCGAGGCGGAAGAGCCGCGCGGTCCCGCCCACCCCAGTTCACCCATGGCGACTCGGCAAGGGCCCCGCGCAGCAGCGCTCGCCTCCTGATCGCCGGGCTTTAATTGCTGGCGCTGAGATGGCCCACCTGAGCTGGGTCCTGCAGCCGCGACCCGAAGCGGCCGAAGGGACCGCGGAGCAACCGGAGAGCTACCAGCTTCGCCAAGAGAACGAGCTGCAGGTGTTGGAGTCCATCTACGGACGGGACTTCCAAGACCTGCGTCTTGGCCAGCCGTGGAAGGTAATACGAAGCATTTGACCGGGTTTCCTGTTGTGCAGATGATGCCCGGCGTTTGCAAGCTGGGAGTCGTCGCGGAAGCTCACGTAGATTCAGATTTATTGATTTAGATATTAAACGGATTTGAAGGTGGCTAGAAGTTCCTTTTTTGAGACTGAACTTTTGGTCTTGCTTGCCCGACTCGCCCCAGTCCTGGTTTTCACCCAGTCCTTTCCTAAGGTGGTCTGCTTGAAGTCATTTAATATCTGAAGGTATGATAACGACCTACACCTTTTGCGTTCACACCCAGAATGGTTTAAAAAATCTCTGCCTTTAACTGTTCCATAATCCAGGGTCCCTCAACCTTGGCGACTTGAAGATGTGTGGACCAAGTCACCAAGGTTGAAGAACCCTGCCATAATCCACCCAAACAGCCATCCCATGGAGTAACATGGACTTTGAGTCCTATGGCAGCTGTGCCTCACTCTTGTGTATTTGTAACAGGGACCTATTTTGACCAAGTAGCAATCATTGTTTGCTACAACCTATCTAGCCCATGCATTTGTTTTGTCTGTCGGTTGGAAGGAAGTAAATTACAGCAGCTAAAAATTAGCAGCATGGTGCAGTATGCTTCAGTGGCATGACTTAATTTCAAGCAATGTGCACATGTGTACATATGCAAACAGAGAGATACACATGCTAGCTAATTTTAATGGATGCAATTCTTAATTATTTGTAGGGCAACAATTACTAAAACTTAGTTAACACCAAAAACAAAGGTATGGTTTTCTGTCCCTCACATTAAGTCTTTAAGATAATTTTATAGTTTTAATGGCTTGGTCTGGCGGTAGTAATATTCTTACTATTGTTTGAAACCTCACTCAGGTAATCTAATGAAAATGCAATGTGTAATTTTTGTAAAAAAGAAAATGGGACCACAGGGAATTCAGTAAGAATTCACTCACAACCAGAGAAAAACTGAAGAACCTGTGCTATAGAAATTCTTAGTTATGTATTTCTGTGGATTCCTAAAAACATATTTGGCACATATTCATCGTTATAAGTCCTGTTATTGCATGCACTGACAATTGCAGGGATGAACATGTACACCCAGCCCTCTCGGCACTTACTTTACCCCTTTCCCATTCTTGGCTGAAATGGGGAGAATTTCTCCCTGAATTTCTCAGGGGAAAAAAAATCGGCACTTACTTTACCCCTTTCCCATTCTTGGCTGAAATGGGGAGAATTTCTCCCTGAATTTCTCAGGGGAAAAAAAATCGGCACTTACTTTACCCCTTTCCCATTCTTGGCTGAAATGGGGAGAATTTCTCCCTGAATTTCTCAGGGGAAAAAAAATCTCTTAGTTTTGTGCTTAAATTCAAAACCCCACTAACTATGAAATTCTGTGGGTAACTTTGGAGCAGTAGTCTTTAGCCTAGCATACCTTCTGGAGTTGTTAGGGGAATAAAAGTAGGTTGCACCCATCCCCATGTAATCTGTGTGAAGCTCCCAGGAAAAAGAGTGGGTGTTAATGTAATAAATATGTCATCTCCATGTGTCAGTCATTTAAGCTGAAGGCATAAGAATGTATTTTGTGTTTGGGCAACCACAGGTATAAAAACTATACAACCCTAGTTATATTCCCTGAAATTAAAAAAAAAAAGAAACAGCATAGGAACTTGTAATTTTTATACCAGTCCTAATACATACTCCCTTAACAGTGTTTTAAAATATTTGGCAGGGGTTTTTTTTAACAAGTCAGCTGTCAACAATGGTATGACAATATCCAGCCAATGATCTTCACCAAGACAACAAAAAACAAAAACCCTCCTGCTTTCTTCTCTGGTATTAATCACTTGAGATTATCTTTAGATTTTACATAGCACATGGCTAAGCCTAGAGAAACTTAATGGGAAACTAGGATTATCACCAACAAGGTGAGCTTTATCTTATGTCTCCTTCCTTTTCCTTCTTGAATTTAGTTTGAGACACATGAGTATCAAATTATTTCTTAATATCCCTAACTTTTTATCAAAATGAGCAAGTAAGATAATAAGTATCAAAGGGAATTGGGTTTTTTTACTTTTCCCGAGTGCTGCTGCTAAACTGTGAAGCCTTTTGTGAACGTTAAAAGAAAAAAAAAACTTACTTCACTGGCTGGTAAATTAAGCATAATTAGCAGGGTTATTACTTCCCCAAAGAATATGCTTTTCCCCAAGACATTTATATATAACACTTGACACAGTCTTTCTTTACTTAAAGCTCTTTCATATGTTTTGTTTGTAATTTCCCTTGAATACAAATCCTGCTTACCAGGAAAATAAAAACTTTGAATCCATTCTTGTGGTTAGATAGGAAAACTTGGTTGAGCCCAGTTTCTTATTAACTTTCTGATTTTTTTTTTTTTAATGTTCCAGATACGACAGCCTCCTGAAATCA